ATATATATATATATATATATCATCATAAGCCTGGCATGGCAGTACTCAGGAGGCAAAGGTAGAAAGATCATAAATTTGAAACCAGCCTGAGCTATATAGAAATACCGTCTCAAAAACGTGTATGTGTGCATGTGTGTGTGTGCGCGCGCACTACCATTTTAATCATTTTTAACTATAAAACTCAGTGGAATTAATACATTCAGTGCTGTGAAATCATCACTTCTATCCATTCCAGGAACTTGTTCATCATCCCAAACTAAAATTATGCAACCATTAAAGAAAAGTTCCTGAATAGACCCAGAGCCCAGACCCGGCATGGGAGTGAGAAGACCTGAGGCCTGCGGATCCTGAATCGACCCAGAGCCCAGGTCTGGCGTGTGAGTGAGACAACTCGGGGCCGCCGGACCCTGAATAGACTAGAGTGCAGGCCTAGTGTGGAACCCTTCAGCACAACTCCCTGCAAAGAGGCTAGAGGCAAGACCCACCCAGCTGATTCAGGAGCAGAACATCTTGCCAGAGTGACACAAAGGATTCAACTCCAATGGCTGCAGCAGGAAGAAGTGGAGCACAGCAGCCAGACCCCAGCCAGATCCAAGCAACACCCACCTGGAGGAATCTGAACTTTGTAGATCCGGATCTGGTGCTAAGGTAATAATTCTATCTAAGCTCTACACCAAAGGTCAGAAGACAGTGGTATACAAAATGACAAAGAGAAGGAACAAAATGTAGTGTCAGGTCCCGAGTCCACCGAGTACAAATGCAGAAGACACCAGCATAGAGGAAACTGGAAATCACCTACCTGCTATCTCTGAAATAATAGCATTGGAAGCAAAGAAACAACTGCAGAAAGGTATAGAAGAAATTAGATCAGAAATAATTTCTGAATTAAAAAATGTAATGATAACTGTAATCAAAGAAGTACTAAGTGCTTCAAAAGAATATACTGTTAAAAAATAGAGCAAAATATAAAAATGATGGAACCCCTGAACAAGCAATATAGGAAAGAAATAGAATGTATGAAACAGATTCAAAGTGATATACAGAAATTAAAACCTCAATCACAAACTGGCAAAACTGTTTGAGGGAAAGTGAAAACAGGAGCTGGTGAGATGGCTCAGTGGTCTAAAACACCTACTGAGAACAAGCTTAGCAAAGCACAGGGACCGCGGTTCAATCCCCCAGCACCACATGCCAGCCAGCCCCGCCCCCTGGTGGGTTGAACTGGCCACACACACACACACACACACACACATAAATAAATTTTAAAAAAAAGAAAGAAAGAAAGTGAAAATAGACTTTCTGACCTTAAAGACACCACTGCCGCTAGTGAAAAGTAATAAAAGATCTCTTAAAAACAACTAGGATGCAGGAAAAAATAATTCAATATCTGCAAGATGATGCAAAAATGAACAATGTGAGACTAATAGGCATCAAAGAGAAGGAAGGAGTCAATACAAATGATATAAAAAGAATATGGGCAGAAGTAATAGCAGAAAACTTCCCAAATATGGGGCAACAATCTGACATTCAGTAACCAAAGCATATAGAACTCCAAATAACATCAACCCAATTAAAACCACACCCAGACATATAATAATCAAGATCCCAGAAATTCAGCACAGGAACAGTATACTAAAAGCCATTAAAGAAAAGAAACAGATCACATTTAAAGGAAAACCCATCAGAATAACGGCAGATTTCTCTTCACAAACCATCAAGTCAAGAAGAGCATGGAGCAAAGTACTTCAACTCTTGCAAGAAAACAAATTCCAACCCAGACTGATATACCCTGCAAAACTCTCTTTCAAGTATAATGGAGAAGTGAAATACTCCCATGACAAAGAACAACTAAAGAATCTCATGATGACAAATCCAAGCCTACACAGACTATTAAATGATGTTCTAGAGAGGGAGCAAATTGATCACAGTCCCATGAATGAGAATGGAAAGAACCCACCAAATAGGGCAAACAATTAAACAGGAGAATAAGAGGTATACAAAAAAAGAAAAGTTCCCCATCTAGTCTGTAGACACAGAAGCCTGAATTGCTAAGGTAGGAGAAACCCAGGGCTTCAAGACCCGGCTGCTTACCACAACGTTTGTCCCTAAAACAAAGAAAAGCACTTTTAAGGGATCAAATGTGTAGGTCAGGGTACAGCACATGCTTAGCACACATGAGACACTGTGTTCAATCCCATGCACCACAAATATTTCCCTATCCACACCCATGAAAACTTCTATTATCACTGTGAATTTCCTTATTCATGGTCATCCATGTAAATGGAAGCATATGATATTTATCATTTTGTATCTGACTTGTTTCTTTTGGCACAGTGATTTTAAGATTCATCTCTTCCATAGCATATTATTAGGATTTAATTCCTTTTTAAAGTTTGACAAAATTCTATGGTCTTATATACTACTTTTATTTATTCATTTCTCAATGAAGTGGGTTGTTCCCACCTTTTGACTATTTAAAATAACACTGCTATAAACATTTCATAGCAATCTTAAAAAATGCAAATACTTGTTCATAGGCTAAACTTCACATTTTTAACAAAAACAACTATCAAATACTAATATACTGTATTAAATTGCAAGAAAGGTCCAGGCAGAGTGGTGCATGTCTATGATCCCAGGACTCAAGAAATTATGACAAGAGGATTCTAAATTCAAAGACAGCATGAGTAATTTAGTAAGACCCTATTATCAAAATAAAGTTTAAGATACCAGGCATGGTGGCACAGACCTGTAATCCCAGCACTAGGAAAACTGAGGCAGGAGGATCGCCATGAGTTCAAGGTCAAACTGGGCTACATAAGTGAGTTCAAGGCTAGCCTACACTATGTAACAAGACCCTGTCTCAAACAGCCCCCCAGAAATAATAATAATTTTTAAAATCAAGTTTAAATAAATGGCTGGGAACTTTGCTCAGTGGTAGAGTGCTTGCCTAGCATGCACGAGGTCCTCAGTTTAATCCCAAGTACTAGGACTGGGGATATAGCTCAGTGGCATAGCACCTGCCTGGCAAATGTGAGGTCCTGAGTTTGATTCCCAGTACCAATAAAAAAAACCCAAGTACTAATAAAAACAAAACACCAAGAATCTGTGCCATAATTTAACAAAAAGATGTTCATTTTAATACTTAAAATTTAGACAAAAATTGTAACTAAACATTAAGTCTAATATAGGTTTACGTAAATGTCTCAAAGTATGATATAACATTAAAATAACTCAAAAGGGGACTGGGGAGATGGCTCACTAGAATAAGCACTTGCCTGGCAAGCACAAGGGCCTGAGTTCAATCCCCGGTTCTGCCAAAAAATAAAAATAAAATAACTCAAAAGGCCTATCTCCTTGTGAAGCGCCTACATTAGATTTTTTTGAGCATGGATTTTTATTTTTTTTAATTTATTTATTTTTATTTTTTTTTTGCGGAACTGGGGATTGAACTCAGGCCCTTACGCTTGCCAGGGAAGCGCTTATTCCACTGAGCCATCTCCCCGGCCCCAAGAGCATGGATTTTTAAAATGTTGCCTAATAAATCTCTATGTCTCTTACTTAGGCATCTTGAAAATTCTTTTTCTGTGGCAGAGGTCATGTACCTAAAAACATGCCCAATGGGTCAAGATATCTCACCTTTGCTTTGGGGACAGACCTCCTTGGACGTTTTCTGTTAACATTTCTTTTGGCAAGTCAGTGGTAAGAGATAAATGAGAGAGGCTGGGGAGATGGCTCAGTGGAATAAGTGCTTCCCTGGCAAGAGCAAGGGCCTGAGTTCAACCACCAGTTCCACCAAAAAAAAAAGAGAGATAAATGAGGTGTTGAGACTATGACTCTAGAATATAACTTCTCAAAGACAACCTCCACAGTATGTTAAGATGGTAGGCCATCAACTATAGAACGGGTAAGACACTTGATTTCTTTTTTTTGTTTGTTTGTTTTTTTGTTTTTGAGGAACCAGGGATTGAACTCAGACCATTGTGCTTGCTAGGGAAGCGCTTGTTCCACTGAGCCATCTCCACTGTCCCAAAAATGGCAGAAGGATTTTTTTTTTTGGCCAGCTCCGAATGCCTTCAGGGCAGGTTTGGCTGGCTAGAGTTCTGGGGATCGAACCACAGCAACCTGAGCCTGACTGCTTTGTTGAAGCAGCCACTTAAAGAACTGAGCTAAGGGGCAGGCCCCCAAGACACTTGATTTCTAATACTAATGCTGACCATAATTAATGAAAGAGGTCACTCAGGTCACACATCATATTTCAAAGTGCCCTGATATCCAGATAGGATGATAATAGTTAGGATTAAGAACTATTGCTCCCATTTCAAGACTGACCTTCTGGGTGACCAACAAGTGAGGTTTGAGGACCAAAGCTAAAGAAGATAAAAGTTCTGGGCTGGGGATATAGCTTTGTGGGCCAAGCTACTGCTTAGTGTTCACTTCAGCAGCACATGTACTAAAATTCGAATGATAGTCCAGTGAGTGTGTGGAGAGCTTCCTGCTAACCTGCGCCAGTGGGACCAGTCCCAGCCCAGGCGCAGTGTGGGC